ATATATATGTTTGGCTATATAGAAAAATCTCCTTGTATTTTAAAGAAACTGAGCAAGGGGCAAAATATTTTAATCTTTTCCTTCGATGTTCTCAAATGAGCATTTTTTGGGATAGCCTCCTTGTGCTTAAAAGTGATCATTTTTTCCCTGATGATGGAATCTGATATATCCCTGTGACTCTGGATTTCGGCATAGACATCGTTAGATCTGTGCAAAGTAGACCTCCGTCAGATATTATGGCTAAATGGGACAAGTCGTTGTGCTCTTTGGATACAGATCTTTGTCGTTAAACTTTCCTTCGACGTTTCATGACCATCGGGCTAATGTCTTTGTGGTTTGCAACATAACTGACATTCTAGAAGCCTGAAAATGATGTGGGCTGTGTTATGTTTGGTTTCTGTAATTCGTTTTATATTTTGAGAGAGAGAGAGAGAGAGAGAGAGAGAGAGAGAGAGAGAGAGAGAGAGAAAGAGAAAGAGGAGAGAGAGAGAGAGAAAGAGAGAGAAAGAGAGAATGTATGCTGTATGTGTGTATGAATGAAAGTGCGTATGAAGGTGCGTAGGTTTGCATGTATGTGCTTTTGTTCACTTGTCCATGTGTGCCTCTGTTGGCTGAGTTGTTAACGTGTATCCACATATTTATACTATCATGTATTTGTGTTCACGGGCAACTTAAATAGCTATGTCAGAATGTTGGTGAAAAAATAAAATGGACAAAACACAAAAAAAGAGCAGGCAAAAAACAGATAAACAGTACTTATTTTTTTAAAGACTTTTTTGTATTTTTGTCCTCATAGGAAAAATATTGTGCTGTGATGGGAAGCAAGACAGAAATATCTAACAAACAGATGTGACCATAAGGGGCTGACATAATGAAGGACTATAAAAATAAGAATAAATAAATAATTTATAAATGAATGTATTATTTTTTATTAATTATAAGGGGCTGACATAATGTATGACTATTTTAACTAGAGCACCACAGCATGTAGCCCAACTTTGTACAGAGTCCTTCAGTGCATGTTTTTGCTCTGGACGACATCCAATGTGTATCGTCTGTTGGCTATTGCATGTAGAAGACATGAGTTCAATTCCTTAAATGGGAAGATTATTTTATCCCTTATTTCCATCTGTCGTCTGGTATGTTGGGTTGACTCTGACTGGAAAAAGTGAAATAATCTAATTTGGATCTACAGTATTGTAAAACATTATAATTACATTTTGTTTATGTTTCTTTGTTTTCCGATAGACCGCTGAAAAAAAATGAACCCACACTCAAAAGCTGACACGTCTTGCCATTCTTGAAGAACCTCCATTCACTACCTACATGGCCACTGAGAAAAACATATTGAGCAAGGCTAAAAAAGCAGAGATAAATTACTGACAATTACTAGGTGAACATACCTGCAACAATCAGACCCAGAGACTGGCCAGCAAAATAGACGTCCTTAGTTGCAAACAGCTGAAAAAAAACACAAAAGGTCACCATTTTCAAATTATTATTTGTAATTTTATTATAGCTCTAAATGAAAAATTTCAGGGCAAAATACGAAATAATATGCCAAATTCTAAAATTACAACATTTTTGGTTCTTTCTAAACATCAAAGAAATCTCATCCAATAACACAACACATTCCTTAAAAAAACATGATGTATGCTTCTGTAAACAGGACAAATAGACAGATTACACATAAGGTAATCGGTAGACTATCTCCAAAATAAGAAAAAGCTAAAGTAAACCACAAAACTGTTCATGTGCACACATAACAACAACAATCAAAGTACATGTACATGTTTTTATCAACGGGAAAGATGCAGACCATGTTAATTCCTTAAGAGTACAGTCAAGCAAATACATACTCCATAACTAATGTGATATCGTGTCATGCAGGGATTAATTATGCAACATAAACATTGTATATTAAACTCATACAATCAATAGCAACTACAGGCACCCTACTACATTATCTTTTAAATGGTTTTAACACCCTACTAGACACTAATGAATCATTTGGACGGTGGAGCACTAAGGTCAGTGTGAAAAGCAAGGAAGAAAAAAGAAAGAAGGACAGAATCAGTTCACACCTCCCTCCCTCCCTCCCTCCCTCCCTCTCTCTCTCTCTCTCTCTCTCACTCTCTCTCTCTCTCTCTCTGATTCCACAAGCACTATAAAAGCAACAGGAGACTAGAAAAAGTATATCCACTACCACACTCCATTAGATGTGTCGCTGCACAGAAAAATGGTTGGAAATCACAAGCATCAATATTGAGACAGAGAAATAAGAGTTTGTTTTCTAAAAGTAAAAGACATTAGGAAAACCAAGTAATTGTATTTTTCCTTTGAGAGAATTTACACTAAACCTCACCAGGACTACATCACACCTATGTGAAAAAAAAAAAAGAATATAGACAGAATACATGCATAAAAGATTTCAAAGTCAAGGGGGCAGAGTCTTCTTCTTCATGTGCCAGATCTGAAACAGCCATGGGACATCATAGCCCGTTATCCATTTCTCTGCTCAGATGCTCTCAAAAACTTATTATATTATCTTGGTCCTTTCAAAATTACCTTTTTGTTCAGTTTCTTGTTGTTAGACACTCTTGTTCTATCTGTGCCTCCTTTACCTCCCTGTTTATACCTGGCCCGTTCCTATTAACTGGCACTTTTGTGTTCAGCAGTTTCAACAAAATCTGCTGGGTTTGAATAAACAAGATGATAAAGAATTTCAAAGGCATATAGAATTTCTCTTGTGTTTTCAATTAACAGCCCTGTTTACCCTCTATTTCTAGACAAAACAAGGTTCAAAGGATACTCACCTCCTGCGGAGCAAAAGCAAATATTCCAACTGACGTCATGTAGTTGTTGGTGCCTCCTTCTGGTATGTCTTTGGCAGTCAAGAAGGCCACCACTCCAGGCATTTTCTGAAAAAAACGAACAAAACATTTAAACATGAAATCTTGGAACTACTCAAATCCAGAAAATAATCAACGTCCTATCCATATTCTGATTGCTAATATCGAGAACGTTTTCATGTTAGTTGGTTGTTTTATGAGTTTTTTAACGGACTTGCTTTTCAAAACTGAAAATTTCTGCAAGTCTCCTTTCGAGAAATCTTTGTTGTTTTACAAAATGACTCCTTGAGGTTACTTTGCCAACCGACTGAAATTTAAATGATCAGAGTACTCCAAAATCTTCCTCGTACTAACGGGAGTTATAAACTATTTGCTTTCAAATGAAAGTTATTCTTTTCACTTCTCTTTCCTGGCTATTTTCTGTAAGAACGTTGAACCAATAATAAATCTTACTAAATAGCATTTGCATAGCGCAAATTCCCCCTCATCAGCAAGTTCTATGCCCTATACAATCTGTATTACCAACTCACCAGAGCTTCTGAGGCATCCATAGACTCCAGCGTAGCCGCCGCCTGATCTGAGAGAACAAACGCTCCAAACAGCTCATGCTGGAAAGTAGGGATGTCGTTCACGTACTGAGCTTCTCCTGATGCCTGCAGAGGGACAACATGACAATGTATTCAAATATCTGCTTTTTAGTTGTTTAGTTGTTTAAAAGTGTGGAGTAAAAGTTTATGACACTTACAAAATAGATAGGTCACATAACTGCCGAGATCAGAAGTTTCATGAGAAAGTAACATACAAAGAAAACAAGGAGGAGGAATAAGAATGATACATGTTTTATAGGAAATAAAGAGCAGTCACAGCAGATCATCCATCAACCATCAACAAATTAGCTGCAGTATAATTTGAATATTGATTTGAATACCTTGCTAGGGCTGGAAAAATAGAAGAAAAAAAGCAGTGATGGACCAACAATAACTTCTTAAAAGAACTTGAAAAGATGAGCGCAGTGGAAACGCCATGTGATATAGGTTTGAGAGCATCCAAGCATAGAAATGAGTGGCCAACCATGAAAACAGTTGTCTTTTTCTTCAAACACTCATAACTTTACTTCTAGCAAGGTATCATATGACAATACCTGAAGTGGAGCGGTAAGTTTGGGCATTGGCTCTTTGAGAGGAAATTCACTCTTCATTTCCTGATAGGTCTGTAGACCTGTGGAGATAGGCCTCTGCAGGCAGTCAGGTCCTGACCTCAGTTTGGGGTCCTGTGTCTTGTAAATGCTGAGCAAAACCTGAGAATAAAGAATGGGTATAATATGAATAGATATGCAACTTTCCACAACAATATAAGAGGAGAAAAAAATGCAACACTTCATCCATGAACATCAATTTCTGATGGAAAAATGGTTCGTGGGGACAACCTTGAAAGTTGTAAGATGCCAAGGTCATGAAACTCATAATGTGAAGCCAAAAAAGTTATCAATTTTTTTTTTTTATATATAAAAAAAGAATTACAACTTACTTTTTTAAAAATCTCATCCATAGGGTCCAGTTGGCTCCTTAATTACTGCTGTCTCTCAGCTACACCCCTAATATAAGGGTAGGTAAAATCTTCTAACACCTAGCCTTCTTGGAGAGGGGTGAAAATATTTTGGAGGTCCCATGTGCAAGTTGCACACATTAAAAATCCCTTGGTGGTCCTAAAACCAATAAGAGTAGGCTTTGACCGCCACCCGGACAAAATTCAAAATTAATTCTTATCAAACAGAAATTGAATAATATGTCCAACATGCTTATATGACCTTATGGAGTTGCAAGCTCCGTAAAACGCTTACCCCCAAAAAATGTACAGTCCAGTAAGATACTAAGTTAGAGGAGCAGGTCTTTAAAATGCAATAAATTTTGGAAAAATTCCCATACCATTCAAAAAATAACACAGGCATAGTCATAGACTTTTACTATTACATGTAGTAGCTTCCCCCCCCCCTCACCCCCCCCAAAAAAGCAGTTTAACTTTGTGACATTCCTATGGCTCATAAGCAAATTTTAAGATCAACTCCAGTATAAAGATTCTTACTAATCGCTCTCATTTGTCTAAAACATACAATATACATTTCAAATGCTTAACTTCCCATGACGGAAGCGGAAAACATTACCACTCATCCACTGCTCACCTTGTAGAGAAGAGATGCGGCCACATCCTGTCTATACTTGGGGGAGGAGAGGAGTTGGTCACTCTCTGGGCGCAGCTCTCCGCGGAGGACAGTCAGGGCCTCTGTCAGATAAAGATAAGACAAGATAAGATAAGATAAGATAAGATAAGATACAATAAGATATCTTACAGTTAAAGCAAAACAGAAATGTAATTAATTAGTCACTCATCACAATCATCAAGTGCCAGGTCTGCTGCAATAGACAACAACGATCATAGTTCGATTTTCTTTTTTTTTTCTTTTTTGCTTGAAAGCTTTAAAAAAAAAAACTATATTATTATCCTGGTCTTTCCCCATCCACCAACTGTTCTGGCTTTCCAAGTGATTTGCTGTGTTACCTTGTTTGCCTTCAATGTTACAAGTAAGAGAGAAAGATGTTCAATGAGTCACTCTTTCATCACAATAAACCCTGGACAGTAAGTGCCTTTTCAGAAAGAGCAAACGGAAGTGGATTAGACACATCTTCACAAAAGCCGATAATATTACCTATCAAGTCTTAAATGGAATCCATAAGGAAAGAGAAAAGACAAAGGCCTGAGAGTACTTGAAGGAGGGACTTGAGTCAAAGCAGTCCTCCTCCTTCATTATCTACATTGTATCAAGGTGGGCGTAAATTTCTTTACAAATAAAAGAGTAGAAAATAGAATCTCATCACCTTTCACAACTGCCTCAGACAGTGTCCTGTTCTCCAAGAATTTCTCCGTGTCTGTGGCATGCACCTGTGAATATAAAGTAGATAAATAAAAAACAAAAGGCTTTGTCTTTCAAATGCAGTCAGCCGGAAGGAGCTGAACATATTTATTTTGGGGGGCAATTCTAATGTTTTTATTATAACGGTTTGGCTTTTTGTTTAACTCTAACACCACAGGCGTCAGTCAGCCACACCACCTTCATCGCCCCAGTTGTGCTCAAAGTCTCCTCTCATTTGTCCCATAAGTTGAATTAGCTGCAATGTTTTGTTCCATGGGGTTGCCCAATTAAAAAGGCAATCCACCTGAAAACGCATATAAAACTCTTGTGGCAATCATGAGTATGTCCAGAAGTCTAAAGATCTATCAAAAAATGCAAAGTGAAAAACAATGCCATACTAGGATATTGTGAGGGTAAAATCATGCAAAGGATTTGAGTTTAATTCTCGTATGGGAAAGTCTTGAATCAAACATCTACATCTGTCTGCGGGAAAGATGTATTCCACTTAGCCCACGACGGCCCGGACAGGCAGTCTGCCTCCTAAAATATTCAAATTGTGTTGACTGGGGAGTAAAGCATTTAAAATTACAATGTTTGCAGTGTCCATACAGAATGTGGCCAAAAACAAGTTGAAATAGAAGCAAAAACAAAAAAGATATGGAAATACATTGACACTGGTACTTACTGTGTCAGCATTGATGCCACCATAGACCAGAGAAGGCTTTCCTTTGATGGTGCTGTTCTCTGTCACAATCTTAAAAGCAGCATTGACATATGCATGGGCATTCTGAAAAAATAAAAATATCAAGGTGTAAATTTCTTTTGGTCATTTGAAAATCTCTTTGTTAACTGTTAGAGGATTTTTCTAGTTTTAGAATCCCAAATAGAAAGTCAGCACTTTCAATTTCAATTGATTTCTCTCTCACAGCTCAATGGTCACGATGAGTAAAAATTTTTTAACTTTGCTATCATTATCAACAATTATATCATGAAACGCAGTACAAAAAGAAATATCATGAGCATTCAAATAAAGCTGATTTGTCAAATAATGCCATACCAGTTGCTAAAATGTAACAATTAAGCTTTTGAAGTATCCAATTCGATTCCCATGTCAGAAAGTTTATTTTACTGAGCATAAAAGCATATCTGTCTTTGGGTAAAATCTCGTGACAGGAAGGATTGACACAAGTCACCACCAAAAACAATTCTAAAATGTGCTGATGGAGGAGTAAAAACATTTAGTCCTGGTTCTGTACTCATTCAGCTCAGTCCTACCAGGGATGGATATTAAACCATAGGTTCTACATTTTATATAACTTTGTTCTTCTGAAAGGATTGTTAAAAGCATGCTACACAATTCCCTTTTATTAAAACATTGTAACTGTAGATGTCTTACAAATTATATTAACATCGTATACATCATCAGGATCTCACCCAGTGCAAACTCTTCCATTATCGAGCTGAAACTTGAAAATTGCAGATCAATTACTTGTACTTTGTCCCCAGTTCGTATATCTCTAACCACCTTTGTGTAGAAATGGACATAAAACATACATAACAGAAAAAAAATGACAGAATGAGACGCAAGCATGGTCAGTCCTAAATGATTCTACAAAGTGCTGAAAGGGAGAGCACAACCACATCTGATTATTTTTCTTATAAAATTTTCTTCTTAAAATGATGCAGTATCTTCACCTGCCATCTTGGTGTTATCTTGAAGGATTTGAAAACCACATCATC